GGGAGCGGGGCGGCGCTCCCGCCGAGGGTTCGGGTCCCACATACAGACCGGCTGCTCACTGGCTGAGCGAGGTGCAGGCGCAACACCAAGGGTTGCGATCCCGTTGCCGGTCACAAAAAAAGACAAAAAGGAAAAAAAAAAAAAAGAACAACAACAACAACAACAAAAATGCGTATATACAGACCTGGGTATGCGGGGGCCACATGTTTGTTTTACCACCAGGGACCATGCCTGGTTACCCTCCAACTCAGTGAATGAATCTGTGAAAGCCACTATATCATCCACAATATCAGGAACTCCCAAATAACATTACATGCCCTGTTTTAGACTGGCAGCTCTGGTGGGCTGGGAGGAGGCAATGGCTTACCTGTCTCAAAAGCAAGGGGTAAGCGAGAAATGCGGGATGAACAAGCATAAAATGAGCCTAGAGCTTGTCTTTCAAAGCCCAGGAGGAAACCTATGCTAAAAATGATCGACATCTAAACAAGTGTAACATTTCAGACTATATCTTGAATAGCAGTCTAACAAAAATTTGCAGTATGTTTATGATCTTCAAAGACATAAATGTAAGAATAGCATTCATTTTAAAAGATCAGGAATAATGAAACAAAAACTGGCAGAAATAAAATAAAAACACATAGAATAAACATAAAATAAAACTTTTAGAAATGAAAAATAAAATCATTTAAATTAATTTAAAGCTTTAATTGGTCATACTAGGTAAAATTAATTTAGTTGATTAAATTTAAAGTTAACCTATTGAAAAACTTCAATGATGGGATAAATTCTATGCTGGTGAGTTAAAGAGAGTTAGTAAGTTTGAAGATAATACTGCTCAGTGCCCCATAATTTAGCACAGTGAGACAATTCACAGCATGGACGTGGGAGAGGCTCTAACTAAGGAGGCTTTAGAGTTCAAGAAAAAGAGAGTGGAGGAAATGTTGGGCACAATATTTGAAGAGATAACTATGAGGTTTTCCAAGACTTGAATGACATGAATCCACAGATTGACAGAGCATTCCCAGTACCTAGTAGGGTAACTCAAAAATAACTTAAATATATGATGCTGAAACTGCTGATTATCAAGGCTAGATAAAAATAAATATGTAAGCTTGAAACATGCCAGAGAAAAACACATAGTCTCTACAAAAGAGTATTAGACTGACAGAAGTCTTCTCTCCTGCAATAATTGGTGCAAAGAGACAACAAAGCAGTATCTTCAAAGTCCTAAGGGAAAATCTGTCTACCTAGAATTTTATATCCAGCTTCCTCAAGAATAAACTGCATCAAAGTTAAAGATAAAATAAAGACATTTTTCTAATGTACAAAGCCTAAGATAATTTAACACCCAGAACTCTAAATTTAAAAACTGTTGATATATTTCAGCAAGAAAAAAGGCGAATACAGAAAGAAGGCACAGAACACAATAAAAAAAAATGACAGTAGGAATGTGGTATATGAAAAAGATTGTATTACAGATTGGCAGGAGAAGATGGGGAAAAAAACACAAAATAAGCAAAAGAATCAAACAATTTTAAAAAGAGGGAAGTTGAATGGCTAATAAACGTAGGGAAAGATAATTAGCCTCCTTAATGAGCAGAAAACTGAACAAAGAGGCGAAATTTCACACACCCAAAAGTGGCAAAAAATAAAAAGACTGATTCAAGCCAGTGTTGGAGAAGAATGTGGAGACACACTATCATACGCTGCTGGTGTGTAAATTGGAACAATCAAGTTAGAAAATATTCTAATAGTATCTTATACATTTTAAGATGTGTATACACCACTATCCAGGATTTCCAACCTAAGGAGACATGTTCCAAATGTTTATTACGGCTTTATTTGTAAGAATGAATGGTCGAAAGCAATCAATCTACCAAGGAATAACAGATAAATGTTATAATTTGTATAGCTGTAAAATGGACACTAAAATAAAGTCTCTAGAGATACTTGTATCAAGATGCACAAATCCCAAAACAATGTCAGGTGATTAAAAACAGGCCACAGAATATGTATGGTATGATACAATTAACAAACGTGGGATCTTCAAAAAGTACATGGAAAGATTCATATTATTTTTTAATTCCATTTTTCCATGAACTTTTTGAAGTGTGCTTCTAATATTCCAAAACATGAAATAATGTTGGACACATATAAATATGAAAGTAAAAGAAAGAAAACATAAATGAGAAGAAAAATGCCAAATTCAAACTAATAATTTACCTCTGACTATGATGGAAATGAGAATGAATCTGGGTAAGTTGTATGGGAGAGTTTCAGCTATACTTTGTAATACAGACATGGGTTGCTTAACGACAAGGATATGTTCTGCAAAATGTGTCATTAGGCCATTTAGTCACTGTGCAAACATCGTAGAATGTACTTGCACAAACCTAGAAGGCCTTCTACACACTCAGGTATATGGTACAGTCTATTGCTCCTACATGAGTAATGCGTTGCGCTCCGACATTACAACAGCGACAACGTCACTAGGTGGTAGGAACTTTTCAGCTCCATTTTAATCTTATGGGGCCATCATCATATTTATGTGGCACATCATTGACTGAACTGTTTGGTGGCACATGACTGTACTCTATTTCTTTGAAAAATAAAAAGACCCACGAACAAGAATGCAATTCATAAACAAAGATAATAAATGATTCACATTTTCTAGCAACCCCGTTTCTGTGCCCAGTCCTGCCCATTTCCTAAGACAGGAAAGAGAAGTACCTGGGAGAGGCTGGCAGGGAAAAGAGTATTGAATTAGGTTAGGATTTAACTTTGTCGTCACTGAAATGCATGTGAGTAATTACAGCTCTGGCTTATGCCACATCACTTAATTTCTTGGAAGAAAAATAATAAGGAAAGTAAGTGAAGAGGTATAGAATATTTTTAGACTCTGTATTTAAGTTCTGCTGAAAACAATAATGCTTAGACTGAATACTCCTCAGGAATGCCTGCGCATGGACTTTAGGATTTACTGCTAATCTGGACCATTTGCATTGAATCTGAGAGAAATGTATAAAACAAACATGTAAGCAAGAGTTTAAAAAATGCTTTTTGTTTAAAGTTTAAGTAGTTTGCAGGAGCCAAAAAAAAAAAAAAAAGAAAATAAAATACCTGTGCTCCCCTCTTCATGTATGTCTTGAATTTCAAAGTTTGACTGTGGTTTGATATGCAGACTTCACACCTCTGGGCGTGCAGGATTGAGTGGACCTCTAGCTTCTCTCTTCAGTAGAGGGACCCTGGGTGAGGACGTGGCACAGGACCACAGCAGGAGAAGAGTTACTGCTTTGTGGCTGCTTTTCCAGTCAGCTGTCACTCTGGTTCTCTTAGAGGTCACGAGCTGGATTTGGTAGACTTTTTGGGTTAGTAATTAGGCTGGGTGGAAAGAAAAACTCAAATGGCTTAAAACATCTTTGGAAGTTTTGGACTGAAAGTAGAGTCTTTGGGGGTTTGTTTGTTTACATGTGAGCAACAGCAAAAAAGGGGGAGTTCATTCCAAAGTGTTACCTTTATCTAGGAAGACCAGATATGAGATGAAGAGAAAATGGAAACTTCTTAACCAGAGGATACAGCACATAGTCGACCGTGGCGTGGTCATAAAATATACAGCAATCTGAAGGCCTTCCTAATTTTTTCATAGATGTTGGCTTGGTTTTTCAGAAAATTCTAGGGAAAATTTAAAACTTTAACACGTAGTTTCAATCCTTTCTGGATCTCTTCAATAAAGAACAAAAATAGGTTAAGTCCCTAAGAAACAAAATGAAATATATTCAGCTACAGATTGAGATATACTAGGTATTCAATAGTTATTCACTGAATAAATTAAGTCAAATTTTGGTTTCTTATGTTATTGAAACTAAAATTTTAAAAGTGTAAAATTTAAACTAAGGATAATTGCTTTAATTTAGGCCATAGAAGATGCCCAAGAATCCTCCCAATTCTGAAACTTTGAATTTAAATTTCTTTTTCAATAATACAGTACTTGATTACAAACAAAATTATTTAAAATATTTTCTTGGGCCAACCCCGTGGCGCACTCGGGAGAGTGCGGCGCTGGGAGCGCAGTGGTGCCCCTGCCACAGGTTCGGATCCTATATAGGCATGACCGGTGCTTTCACTGGCTGAGCACAGTGCAGGCGACACCACGCCAAGGGTTGCAATCCCCTTACCGGTCACACACACACACAAAAAAATTCTTAATAAAATTAGTATAAGTAAAATTTTTTCAATAGCTCCTTCAGAAGGGTGGGGCAGTCTGTTATTTATAAGAATTTTGCTGGAGGGTGAGATGTGGAGATGCAGATATATCTCAATCATGGTCTTAAAAAAATGAGTATTTTAAAAGTTTGGTGATGAATTAACAACTCAAGCAAAATAAAAATAAATGTTTTTTTAAATGTCTGTAGTAAGAATGGTTTAATAAATGCTATAAACCATAATTTTCACAATTTTATACTTAATATAGAGAAAAAGAAGAGCTAAACTCGCACAAAGAAACAAAAAATTACATAAATATTTATCATTGGTCTGAGCCAAAGTTTATTTTCTGCTACTGGTCTGTTATTAATATCAAATTTTCTTGGCATAAAGAAAAGAAAAAGGAACTAGGAATCTGGAGAAATAGACTTTACCATGTACCTGTTAAATTGCCTTTGACAAGTAATTTAAAGTCTCTGAGGTATCATTATGTTTATCTGTTGAATGGAGATGTTCATATTTGCTCTTCCTAGATCTCAGGGTCGTGGCAAAAAGCAAATGGAAAAATGAATATTGAAGTTCTTTGAAAAGCGGAAAGCACCATATAAAATGTACTTTATTAATTATTGCTAAGGAGAACACTCAGCTCATGGGTACTGAGGAGTTTAGTACTCCTGGAGAGTAAAAATAGGTGTGGAGTTCTGACAGGTGTGACCCTTGGTCCTTCCAAGTATTGATAATGGCTTTTCTCTCCTCCCTTTCCACATCCCCTTTCTCCATTTATTTCCCTTCTGTAGAACCTCTACCTGTAACCAGTGTTTCGATATATGACTATAAACCTTCTCCTGAAACAGGAGTTCTGTTTGAAATTCATTATCCAGAAAAATATAATGTTTTCACAAGAGTAAACATAAGCTACTGGGAAGGTAAAGACTTCCGGACAATGCTATACAAAGGTAAGAGGCAAAAGGAAGGCAGAGTCAAGGATGGCTATCACTTTTTACACGACTTTTCTCAAATGGTGTTCTCTCTTACTCTATAGAGGTTTTATAACTCATTACTTGACCTATAAATGTACCATTAAAATAGTTATTGGTTCATGAAAATCTTGCCCCGAGGAGTCCTAGAACATCTGGTTCATTAGTTGAGAATCATACACCATGCACACAGCATGAGACATACTCAAATTATTATCACTTATATATTACTCTGGCCAAAGGTAAAAAATTCACTTTTTAGGAGCACCTTACCTAACCATTTTTTCTTCTGGGTGTGATAGAAGGGTGTTTCCAGGACTGGGAAGCCAGAGAGGTGCCTTTTACAAAGTTTCACTTGGAGATGGTCCAAGATTATTCTCAAATGCGGAAGATAATACTTTGGATGCCTTAGTGTATTACATCAGAAAACAATCATTTAGCTGGTCCTAGAGGTAAATATATACCTGTGGGGAAAGGAGAGAGAGAAGAATGCAGAGGAATTAATAATTTAAATTATTCAAAAGAACCAAGTCAGTCTGTCTGGGTAGAAGGGCAGGGGTGAGAGAGTGAGAGAAGGAGTGGGGTCATTTGGCTTTACTGGGAGTGAATCCCAGTGGAGGAACTTGAATACTCTCAGAGCAGTGTCAAATCTGGCTGGTTGTAACCAGAAACATGTATTAATGAGATGCAGACTGGGTACCGGAGCACATAGGTCACGGTTTTCAGGAAAATGTCACTGACTTGCTGCTTCTACAAACTCCTTTCTTCCATAGATTTTTTTTTATGAGACACTGTTTAAAAAACATAGAGTGAATTTAGAGGATTTTTGAACTTTAAAAACATCAAATAAGGGCCGGCCCGGTGGCGCACTGCTACAGTGCGCCGTTTGGGAGTGCGGCGGCGCTCCCGCTGAGGGTTCGGATCCCACATACAGACCGGGTCCCGCTCACTGGCTGAGCGAGGTGTGGGCGAAGCACCGAGGGTTGCGATCCCGTTGCCGGTCCCGGTCCGGTACGGGCGCGACACTGAGGGTTGTGATCCGTTGCCGGACACGAAAAAAGACAAAAAGGAAAAAAAAACGTTTGGGAGTGCGGCGGCGCTCCCGCTGAGGGTTCGGATCCCACATACAGACCGGGTCCCGCTCACTGGCTGAGCGAGGTGTGGGCGAAGCACCGAGGGTTGCGATCCCGTTGCCGGTCCCGGTCCGGTACGGGCGCAACACTGAGGGTTGCGATCCGTTGCCGGACACGAAAAAAGGGGAAAAAAAAAAAAAACATAAATAAGCATAAACATAGTCTCCATAAATTACTGCATTCTTTATTTTCAATGAAAACAGATTATCTACAACTTAATAAGTGGGACCTTATTTGTTTATAGATCATATGCAAATACATGATCACGAATGACTGGAAAACAATTACTTAAACTGTTGTTCAGTGCAAAAGCCATGAGTTTAAACATGTTACTGGAAAAAAAAATTTTTAATAAAAATAAATTATTGAATATGCTCTCATTATTAAGTCAATTAATTTTTTAAACTATTCTTAGCTTTTAATTCAATAAGTGATACTTTTAGTTTCTTTCCCTCATTTCTTTTGACTTGGATTGGATTTTTTAATTTATTATTTTCTTTAATGTTTTCCAAATGAAATCAAAAGCTTTCTTTTCTTTTTTTTTTTTCCTTTTTGTCTTTTTTCGTGTCCGGCAACGGATCGCAACCCTCAGTGTCGCGCCCGTACCGGACCGGGACCAGCAACGGGATCACAACCCTAGGTGTTGCTCCCACACCTCGCTCAGCCAGTGAGAGGGAACCGGTCTGTATGTGGGATCCGAACCCTCGGCGGGAGTGCCACCGCGCTCCCAAGCGGCGCACTGTAGCAGTGTGCCACCGGGCCGCCCCCGAAAGCTTTATTTTCTTCTTTTTTAAAAAACTTGTCCTGTCTGCCAACTGGCAGATAAGCCAGTCTTCTTTTAAGATAGACTAGCTTTTATACATAAAAACATTTCTTGTAAAATTGCTATTTATTATGTCATAAAGTGGCAACATACCTTGGGTTTTTTATTTTAAAGTAAATAATTAGCATAAACCTAATCTCTGTAATTTCTGTGTATTATCTTTCCCACTTAATATCCAAAAAGTTTCTTTAACAAAAATTAACTTCAATTATGTCCAATCTTCTTAGGAATTTTAGCAGGAAAAGCCTTTCACGACTGAGTCTAAGATCCAAATTTCATCTCAGTCCTTCTACTTATTTTTTATTTCTGGCCTTGCCAGAAGTTGACAGAAATATTATCTTATGGATATTTAATTATAACCGTTTGAAACTTTCTAGAAGTTGGTGACATTTAGAAGACCATATTTTTAATGTAACTGATTTTTCTCTTTGCAGATTTCTTTAAAGGAAAAACAGTATTTAATCACTGGCTTCCAGGAATATGTTATAGTAATATCACCTTCCAGCTAGTATCTGAGGCAAGTTTTAATAAAAGTACCCTCGTGGAGTGCAGTGGTGTTAGTCATGAACCCAAACAGCATAGAACTGGTAAGTTCTGAAGAATCAAGTTTAGTGAGAAAATAAGTAAATTATATGCTGCTGTTTATTTTTTTATCCTTCTAAGAAATATTCTTCTTCAGAGCTAAGAAAGAAAATAAATATGAGTATATACTTTTAATAATCTAACACAAATTTTCTATCAATGTAAAAAGAACCAAGCAAAATATTCAATAAGCAAAATGTAAACTATGTCAAAGTAATTGTAGATTTATGATCTTTGAATAAAAAGGTATGTGACACTACCAAAAGTTATAACTAAGTAGTTTAACTGGATCTAGAATTGAATAACTATTCTATCATCTGACGAATGTCCATACAGCAGAAAAACAGAGGGAGACAGCTTAGTAAAGATGATCAGATTATTAAAGGAAAATATTGGAATTCAGATGCATCTAAAACTTGCTGTGTTTCATTTTGGTAGCATTGCTAATATGAAGCACTATTATAGGTTGGATGGATGGATGGATCAATCGATTGATTGATGTAAGAATGGATGGATAAAATACATGTATATCTACTAAGCACCCATAACCAGAAAAAGCACTGTGTGTGCCTAACATGCCTGAGTACTCAACAGAAGTACTGGAGAGGCCACTCCTAGGAGTACTGGAGATCGGTTATGATAGATTACCCCTGGCAATAGGAAATTCAAAGATGTCATGATTCTCATTTATTAGGCCAAGACAAGGAAACTGTTTCAGCTAAATAACTAATTCACCTCATGTCAACATCTAAGATTCTATTTGTGTTTTCCTTATTCAACAATTCAAGTAAAGAAAGATTAATTGAGCATCTTCTCCCTGGAAGTCATTGTAAGTACTGAGAGAGATGAAGACAAAGACAGGTGAGACAGGGTCGCTGTCCTCAAAAAAACGGTACAGATGCTATACAAGTGGCGATGATACAAGGCAGAATGAGATAAATGTTATGAAACAGTTCCAAAGTTATTGAACAACGCAAAAGAGGGAGAGATTAATTGTTATTAGAAGTTCACAGAAGAGGAGATATTTGTGCCATTTGAAGGACAGGCAGAAACTGTTGAGGCAGAGACCACACAGTGTGTCTTCATGATTTTCTACCTCTGGAACAGAATGCTTCTGTAATTCATGAACTCATTTTTGCTTGTATGTTTCATTTGAGAGAGGTGAGGAGTGAAGCCATGTTTTCACCATGTGTGGTAATGTCTCTAAGGCAAATTATATATGCAACTCTCTCACTTTTTAAAGAGTGAGATTGTGATAAACTGAAGACTATTTGCATAATTGTGCTTTAGAAGTGGTTAAATTACCACTTCAGCAAGCATCATATCACAAGTTAGTGTATTTGAAGTGTGACTGGCAATATGCTAATATGCCCACGTCATTCACAAAATATTAAAGTGTGTGCACTTAAAACCACAATTGTTCTTGCTGTAAATTTGCCTATATATTGGAAGTAAAATTAAACTCTATTTTATAAATCGGCTTGTATATTTGATTCATTAATAAATTATTTACTATAATAGTTAGAAATTATTTGAAAATGAAAATTCTCTCTCTTGCAGCCCCTTATCCACCTCGAAACATTTCTGTTCGTATTGTAAACTTGAACAAAAACAACTGGGAAGAACAGAGTGGCAGTTTCCCAGATGAATCATTCATGAGATCACGAGATACAATAGGAAAGGACAAACTCTTCCATTTTACAGATGAAACTCCAGAAACTCCCTCTGGCAACATTTCTTCTGGTTGGCCTGATTTGAACAGCAGTGACAATGAAACTACATCCCAGCCATACTGGTGGGACAGTGCATCTGCAACTCCTGAAAGTGAAGATGACTTCGTCAGTGTACTTCCCACGGAATACGAAAATAACAATACACTCAGCGAGACTGAGAAGTCAGCATCAGGCTCTTTCTCTTCTTTCCCTGTGCAAATGATATTGAGCTGGTTACCTCCAAAACCACCCACTGCCTTTGATGGGTTCCATATTCATGTAGAAAGAGAAGGTAAAGCAGTAGGAAATCAGAGGAAACAAGAAATGCTACAAAGGAAAGGAAATGAAATGTTTTAAAATTTGAGTTTAGAAAGAAAGACTGATGGAAGACAGTTAATATTTAAAGAATAATGGTAAAAAAAATAAAGGGGGAGGAAGGGAATTTGATTATTCAGTGCACATCGAGAACAGAAAACCAAAATGAATTGGATTGATCAAAATCAGAAGGTTTGGGTGATTCACAAGTTGTCAAAATTTGAAGTTATTTCAAATAGCCTTATTTGAGGGTAGGACAACATGTAGTCTCATATATAACATATTGTTTACTCCGATTTTATGTGGTAGAATGAGATAGAGCAATCAACTATACCCAAATATTATATAAAATTGAAATCCTTTGTCATTTCCAATTATCAAGTCAAAAGTCATTGGCCTGGAATTGTTTATATTGCAAAAAAAAAAAGCTTTATTAATCTGTCCTTGATATATTCTATGGAAAAAATAGGATCTTGTAATTCAGATAGTTTTTTTTTTACTGCCTATTTCCGCAAGGTTCTATCATGCTTTTATCTGACCGAAGTGTGTTCTTCTGAAGGCTGTTCTAGTTATCCACTGATGATAATGACACCAAATGTAATAAGCAGCAGGAGATGGACTGTGAAGCAACGTAAAATAATTCTTATGCTTAAAAGTTCTGGAAACAAACAGATGAGAGAAAATTATTACAAGTGTCAGACAAGATATCCATTTTAAAGCATTTTTGAGTATTCAATGCTACCACAAAGAACTTATAAGATATTTGGTGCTGGTTCTTTTTTGTCCCTACATCCATATGAGAAAGCCAGCGATCGTTACCTTCTCCTGACAACCTGCTTTTGTTTTGTGCACATAATTTCACTGAGTAAGATGCAGTATATACCCATCCCTAGTTTTACTGATTTGGACACCATATCTTAGTTTTGTTATTGAAAGGTATTGTGAAAAAAATTGAACTCTTACTCACGTTTCTTTTATGGTACCTGTAATTTAGAGGTACAGTTGAATTTGACAAAAGAAAGGAGGCAATATAAAAAATACCTTTTTTTTTTACTAATTGTTTTTACTAATTTTCTACATTCAGCATGCTTCCAGGTGTCAATTCATACATATTCTCTTTTTTATATGTGATTTAGAGAACTTTACTGAATATTTGACAGTGGATGAAGAAACGCATGAATTTGTTGCAGAACTGAAGGAGCCTGGGAAATACAAGTTATCTGTGACAACCTTCAGTTCCTCGGGATCGTGTGAAACTCGAAGAAGTCAGTCCGCAAAATCACTCAGCTTTTATATCAGTAAGTAACGAAGAGATTATTTTGTACTTACAGCACTAGAACAATGAGATTGGTGAGATTAACAATGCTCCGTCAATTATTCACAAACCTTAGGGATCCTGAGAATTCTTCAATGTCAGGAGAGACCAGGATCCATAATCTTTTGACAGCAGAGGAAATATATGTATGCTTCATTGCAGCAAACCTCCCCATGGATTTAACTTGAGGATTTTTTTTTTATTATTCTGATAATTGAACATTTATTAAACTGACCTTCCACACTAGCCATAGCAAACTCTCTAGAGACATGGACACACAGTTTGGGAAAGATGACTTTTGTTTGAGGCCATAGTGAAACTTGATATTATAGGATTATATGAAAAATCTCTTCAGAGTATTGAGTGTGTGGAGCTCAAAAAGAGGACAAAGATTCAAGTGTAGTGATATCCACGTGGTCGCCATAAAGTTGACAGGAGAAGACAAAGCTAGAAAAGCCCCAATGTCAAGTCTTACAGTGGCTTCTGCTAATTCCATAAGGGGTAATAGCAGAGGGAAAGCTACCCTCTAAAGGCTAAGCGACAGTGCATGTCTCAGTAATATGTTTTGCTAAACGGACTGGGTTTACTAAAAGTTTACAGGCCAAAAATCAATAACCTAGCTTATCAGGAGTTAAATGCACCTCTGATCAGCAGAAAGAAAAACCAGAAGGCAATGGATAAAAATTGCTCTCTCAGAAAAGGATGACTACTGTACATTCATTGCCTTCCTCAAAGGCAAAATACCAGCTTTCGTCGAATAATCCTCAAAAAGATGGACAGAAAGGGAAGAATGAGGACAGAGGGAGAAGACCAATTTATTTAGCTGCTTAAAAATGTGGGAAACGTCCCTTACATCCAGTAAAAATAACATCTTTCCTTAAGCAATCAAAAATGTCACCTCTGGTGAAAGGCCTGAAAGAGCCATCAGACAGGCAGAAAGAATATTCGGAATTGCCTAGCAGGTCTTTCAAGTGTGGGGGTCTTTGACGTGACATCACTTGAGAATGAGAACAAAGTCAAGCATTCAGTTCTTCCCATGAGGCTAAAGATGCTTCACTAACCAAGAGATTTCCTTGTCATGGGTACAGATCCACTGCAGGTGTTAACAGCTTCCACGGAAACTCCCTTCAATGATTCTGCTTTTCTCTGCTCTGAATTTCTAATGTGTTTCATACTGTACAGCACAAAACACAGAACCTACGAGAGTGTGGCATTTTTCTAGATTTATTTTATTTGTGTGCATCTTGCTTCTCATACCAAATTATAAAATCCTAGGCTAAAGTTATTCTATTTGCTTATTTATCCACTCTTTTATATATTCAACAAATATTTATTGAACCACTTTTATCAATTATTCTGCAGATTTTTAAAGTATCCAAACTGACTAGTGCCATTTAGATGTGAGAATTGCTCAAAAATATTATTTCAAAAAGATCCATCTCAATATTCACCTAGAAAAATACTAGGGTACTTCAAAAAGCTCATGAAAAATAGAATTAAAAGATAATATGAACCTTTCTGTGCACTTTTTGAAGACCCCCCATATAGGCCTCTAGAAATTTGTTTTTTTTCTGCCAATAAAAGAATGATATTTTTAGGTGCTTAGGATATTCTGTTCTGTGGTAATGAGTTATTATCGTGTACTATATATATACCCCTTTGGTTTAAAAAAGGATACTGCAGATATAAATATAATTTTTAACTGGGTAAGTGAGCAGCAAATTAGGGTGGGTTAGCTTTCTTCAACATAATATCATCACGCACTAGCTACATTACATTTGCAGCCCATTTTCCTGACCAAGCTGTTTCAGACATTCTGGGGTTGAGCTATTACACTGAGATTTATTACACTAAGATCTATGTTTCTGTTGCTGTATTATGTTTTATATTTATGTCATTTTTGAAGGCTTTCCCAGAGATGAAAATTAAGGCAGAAATTTACATTAGTCCCCCAACAGCTCTATGAATGAAACATTTTTATTATCCTCATTTTTCATGTGAAAGATACTGAGCCATAGAAAGTTCAGTGACCTTTCCCGAGTGTCAGAACGAAGATTAGAAACCAGGAATATTTGATGACAAAATCCTTTTCCATGTAGCCTGCAAGGACCCATTGCCTTGGGTTGATTATGAGGTCAGTCCTAATGTAAAACTATTAAATGAGTGAATTTGCTTTGCTTCTTCCTACTTTCTCTCTCTGAGCCTGCACTACAACAGCAGTCTCTGTGCAGTAATAAAACTTCACATTTATGTAGTTTTCTAACACATATTATCTCATTTGATGCCAACAGGAGCCTTATGAAATAGATTAATCAGAAGGCATCATGATATGTTGTCCCAAAGCACTGACTCAGGAGACAGGAGGTCTGGGGTGGGTTCCAAGCACTTACCAGCTCTGTGATATTGGGCAGGTATTCACGTCTCTGGGCCTCAGTTTCCTCGTTAGTAAAGGAAAGCATTGGATCTCTAAAGTTCCTTCCAATTTTAACATTCTATGGGTTGTCTATTTGACAGCTGCAATGGTTGAGATTCAGAGAAATTAAATAATTTTCCCAAAGTCATACCACTAATAAAGAGCAAAACTGAGTCTTGAGCCGATTTTTCTATCTCCAAACCAATACTTTTCACTATTTCATTGTGCTCCAGGAAGACCCACGCATGGTTAATAGCATGGATTTCGGAATCCCAGGTCTACTTACCCTATCTCTGCCTCAGTTTCCTCATCTGAAAAGTGAGATTTAATAATAGTACTTATCTCATAGGCAAGTTATAAAAATTAAAGTATTAAAATATGTAAACACATGTAAACTTAAAACAGAGCCTTGTCCATAATGGGTTTTATATCTCTTTGCCATCATTATTATCATTTTTTATTGTTATTTTTCTTGCACCATTTACAATGAGCCTGAGTCTGCCTTCCCAGCAGAGCCACTTCCTCCTTTTCCTCTCCTGGGTTCCAGCCTAGAAATACAGCATTTAATTAAGGAACTGAGAAATGCATCCTAAGCAAATAAAGGGAAACTGCACATTTGCATTTCAACACGGAATTTCTGTAGATAATAATCACCTTAACATGTCTTGAGTCCTTACTGTGTGTCAGGCACATTAAGCCAGCCTGTTGCTTGTTTCTTCTCTAATATAGTCACAGCCTGCCTCTTTGTTCCTGCTGTTGCCAGATTTAAAGTTTTTCACAGAATTGTACTCGAGGCTAATTTGAATCTCAAAGTAATTATATCTAGAAACCAAAGATCCTTATAGCAAAGGAATTATAAACACTGATGAAATGCCACACCCAGTCTTCATTAAAAGAGAAGTAAATTCTCTCTGGTGAAGAATTTACTGGAATACTCTCAGATGCACATTATTATGGAAGTGGAGCTTCTGTCTCCCAGTAGAACAGTTTTCCATGTTGTTGCTGAGGCTGCTCTTATTCAGATCAAGGTGAGGTCATGGAATTGAGGATTGTAGCTAGGCAGAGGATCTGAAGAGTTGCCAGGCTGACAGCCAATCTTTTTTCAAATATCTTTGCAAGGGCAAAGGGAAGACATGATTTTAAAACTAAAATCTATCTCATCCATTTCAGTGTGCAACCTCCTTTGTGCTCTGATTTGAAATGTTCAGGTCCTTCAGGAGAGTGGATTGAAGAGTTGACTGAGAAGCCCCAGCATGTGACCGTGCATGTTTTAAGCTCAACCACTGCCTTGATGTCCTGGACATCTTCCCAAGAGAACTACAACAGCACCATTGTGTCTGTGGTGTCGCTGACCTGCCAGAAACAGAAGGAGAGCCAGAGGCTTGAAAAGCAGTACTGCACCCAGGTAAAGGAAAGGAAACGTGGACGGGCACACCCACACCCTGCTGAAGCCCAGCCTCGCAGGGCAACGTGAGGAGGGAGGCATTTGCAGGAAGCTGAGGTCTGCCCAGGTGGGAGTGTTGTTACCAAGAGCCAGGAGAGGGGCCAGTAAATGCGTGGAGATAGCTCTTCAGCTACACTGTCGCCTTCCTCTTCCTTCATAGGAGGGTGATGTGCCTTTCACTTTCATTCCTTATGCAGAAGAATTTTTTTGTGCACCTCCAATGTGCCAGGTACTAGGATAATGTTGGAGATCTAGGTCGCTTTTAAACATCCTGCTCTTGCAGAGCTCATAATCTAGTGAGAGCAATGGTTGAGTGAACATAGAATTACTGCACCCTATAGAATAAGGCCTAGGCCAAAAATAAATGAGAGTGAGGCCATATGCGTTCCCAGGAAGAAGGAGCTGGCCATGGGTATTACGGATTGGAGGGAAAGAGGATTTGGAAAGTGGCCCGAAAAACTTCCCAGAGGAGGAAACAACCCAGCAGAGGGTTTGGGGGGGGTTTTGTTTAGGGTTTTGTTTTACTTTTTTTCATCCTTTCCGTTTTTATTTTGACTGTAAAAACGTGTGCTCGCTGAAGACATAATTCAAAAATTAAAAGCATATTAAGTAAAAAACTCCCCCCTCACCAGTCACAACTGAAAAAAGTTTTGAAGGATAAATCAAAGTTAGCACAGAGGAGAGCGAGGGGCTGCAGAGATAGTGCACAGATGAGTCGTCCTGTGAGTAGCTAAAGAATAAATCCACACCCAGTCATCGGTCCTGGATGCAACCGTGCAACGGGAGCTGAGAGCAAACCTTGCTCCCAGAAGCCCTGAGAACCTACGGTCCAGTCCTGTTTTCCTAAAATCTGCTTTCATTTTTTCATGAGGCCAAATATGGTGGTACTTGGTGTCTTTACATTAGGTTTTTCCCTATAGGCAAAAAACTCCGTTTAATTATCAATTCATGTGGAATACATTGCCAATGTAATACTCAGAAGAGATGTGAAAACTATTTGGAATGTTTACATTTCTCCCAGGAAAATTAAGTAGTTAATGAAATTCAAACAGTGAGGGATTTTAAATTGATAAGATGGATTCAGGAATCATGGCCTTTGAAACACTAGAAACCACAGAATGCTGAGATAAGCTCTTACTTGAGTATGAAACTACCCCTTGACTCGAATTAAATTAAAAATAAATATGTTAAACCAATTAACGAGTAATCACAGCTCATTGTACAGATTAGTAGCTTCCATCCCTGAGCATACCCAAGATGACTGACTCTTTACATTGATAGAAAAATGTGTTTTCCTCACAGACTATGACCTAGAACTCGACTGCTCCAAGGTACATTTCTCCGTTGCTCCACCAATGTGCAAATTGCATGTCTTCCACACAGAAGCCAGAGGATAAAGGAACAGATAGTGTCAATTATAAACAAGCCAGAAAAGGCCAGTGCAAGTGCATTTTGACAATGCCTTCTCAAATGCCCATATGAAAATAATGGGACATGAAATACCCTGTTAAGGACTAAGGGCAAGGAGACCCATATGTAAAGTGGAGTATGGGAAGGAGACGACTATACCAGTCACCATCTCAGTCACCATATGAACTTTTTGAGAAGTGTGTGATTAGTACAACACCATCACTAAGTATCAAGATATAGCAGTAAGCACTTTGTAAGGCTGTTGTAACCCCATGAAGTAATGTTGTAGAGAACACTTCTCATTTATTTATTTTTTTAATTTTTTTTAATTTTTTTTTTGTCTTTTTCCGTGTCCGGCAACGGATCGCAACCCTCAGTGTCGCCCCCGTACCGGACCGGGACCGGCAACGGGATCGCAGCCCTCAGTGTTGCTCCCGCGCCTCGCTCAGCCAGTGAGCGGGAACCGGTCTGCATGTGGGATCCGAACCCTCGGCGGGAGCGCCACCGCGCTTCCTAAGCGGCACACTGTAGCAGTGCGCCACCAGGCCGGCCCAGAACACTTCTCATTTAGATGAGCTCTTCTCTGCTGTTCTTTTATTTTTGGCCCCACTACACACATACACACACACACACACACACACACTCACACACACATATACTTTTCAGATGAGGAAATGTAAGTTCAAAAAGTGTCGAGAACCAACATAAAGTCAAGTGGACATTAATCAAAGGAATCTGCAAGATTTTCTCACCAAGGTGGATCTAACTTGGGCTTTGGACTTATTTCCTAAAGCAACCATAATCCAGAATGAAAAAATAATATTTCTTTAGTTCTATATTCAATGGTACTGTGTTTATATTAAATAGGAAATTCAAAATGTGGCCCTAAAGTAAGAGTGATTCTAAAACCAAATGCATATTAATAGCTATTCATGATGTTTCACTGTTTTATAGTCTCACTTTCCCCACTTTGCTTCTACCACTGACAGTGCCTTAGGCTCATTGCTGTATGTATTTATTACCTGGATGATCTGTGAGAGTCACTGCTAATGTCCCTACTGTGCCCTACAATTCCATCAATCTGTGTGACTGTGTGTGAGGCAGGTCCTGTGTGAGGTGCTAGAGAAAAGGTGAATTAGACCTGAACCCTGATTTCACAAAGCCAAGGTCTGGCCCTTCATGTAGGTACATTATATGCATTAATTTGAATTTACCCTCATCATACAGATACGTTTATGTCTGTGTCTTGCTTCATGCTCGACTTTTTATGCAAATGTTCTGGAGAAAGAGTTTTGTGATGTATTCCTCCTAACGACCATTGTTGTACTATTCATTAATAAATACATGTTGAACATAAAGTCATTGCCCAATCCGTGTTAGTAACGAACTTGGTTAATTTTTCAGGGTAAATGTGCTCTCATTATCTCTGCAAAGACTCACACACAATCATAAATTTTAGAACTGGGAAGCATTATATAACATATGTATGTACATTTCTTTCTATATGTGATCTGCCTTGGTCCATTAATACTTTCTGACAAGTTATAGGAATGTATAATAACTAAATGACAAAATCAGACAGAAAGACAAATCCATCTTTTGGCTTTACAAATGAAGAAATGGTAAAAGTTAAGAGGCCAAATATTTAAAGGACCTGCCCAGAGTTACACAGCTGGTTAGTATCAGGGCAGAGACTGGGACCCAAAGGATCTGACTTGGCAGCCTGTGCTATTTCTGTTGGATTGCATGTGCTATTTCACCCTTACCACCCATCTTCATGGAGTCTAGAGTACAGACTCCAGTGTCACACCGTTACCAGCTATGAGAACTCGAGCAACTGTATGTCTTCGTGTCTTCATCTGACATAAGGAGAAGCATATCCTACCTTGGGGGGTTGGAATAAAGATAAAAGGACTTGATGGTTAATGCAGTGTCAGGAGCATAGTGATAGTAAGTGTGCAAAGAAAAAGTGTTAGTTTCTATTTTTATCCAGGCCTAGCTGGATGTTTTTTAAATCAAGGGAGGGAGATGGAAAGGTTCTAGAGATCCTTCATGGAAAAATCTGAGTGACTGTAATAAATGTATAGAAAAGAGCTAATGGAAAGAGGATCACATGAAGTGGAAATAAGACCATATCAGATTCAAAGGAACATTCACTGTCCTCTCGTTCAACCCCATTATTTAATAATTTATTGCATATTTCTTCTCCCAGCTATGCTTTCTAATACATCTTTCCTCTTATCTCCTTAGCTGAGGAAAAATAGAACTAGTGCCTAGCTGGAGAGACATTTGGCTCAACTGAGTTCTTGGAAATGAAAATTTAAGCCAAACGGGAAAAATATTAAAATGCTAATACAGGTGGAAATTGAGGGAGGGAGTGTGAAATGATCTTGTAGAAAATAAAACGGTTATTATTTAGGAAGCAGAATACAGGAGCATTTCCCCTTCTCACCTTCAAAGGGAGGTCCAGGATAGATAAAAAGGCGTGGAGGGATAGAAGTGTAAGTATAGGTTGGCAGCTCAGCAAATATTCAGAAATTGGGAGAGGGCGTGATAAGTGCTGTTTATAATTTGTTACAAGGCAAGCAATTCACAATACCATTGCCCTTTCATCATATTATTTAGTAGTGTGATGTATATACACATAGCTACTTCTTATTTAAAAAGTACAATTTCCCTAGGACAAAGTTATTTTAAGGGCATATTCAAGTAGTATTAAAATATGATCGAACTAAAGGAATTTTAACATCACCCTAAAACAATCTACACTCTTTATGTCCTGTGTTATTCTAAATACTCTAAATAGGCAAATGCTAGTTCAGCATTTAGAAGTATGCTAGAATGTCTACAATGTGTTGTTAGATTTTTAAAATAAGATTGGAGCCATGTTAATAGTACAACACATATATGGTTCAATAGCATATTATTTATGTGTATATGCTAGAGGAAAGTCCATAAGAATTTCTACCAAAATATCAGGATTTGTGGGAGAAGAGCAGGAAAACTTCCAATTTCTTTCATTTGCTCTTTTTGGGGGGGAATAACTTTTACAATAAGCATGTGTGAATTTTATTCCTTAAAATGTATTTTAAAGAAATAAAACAGAACTGCCTAGTTGTGCATAATATATATGTCCTTATTCATAGTTTGTCTTTTGAGGAAATTCTGTATCAGATGAAATTCTGTATCTGTTGCATCACCTTGTCTATATGGCTTTCAGCAGAATTAAAAATCTAGAACTTGGGCAAGAAACCCTGACATGAAAGAGTGTAAATAGGAAAAGAACGGTGGAAATGCTAACTTACTAGTTCAGTTTAATCTTATTTTGATCAAGCCAATGGAAAAGATATTTTGGTATGCTGCTTCTTCTACTTAGGCATAGAGCAAATTGGACCAGTTCAAGGTATACAATTTCTACTGTGTATAATCAGTTTAGGGCACTGGGAAAGTTTTAAATTCGTATCATTTCACCAGTTCTGCTTATCGTTAAAATTTAATGAGACAAAAAAAATTACAGCATAGGTAAACTGTCAACAATATTGTTCTCCATTGACTGGTGTTTCTTCTTGCAACAATTCTACAATTTTATGTACCCCAGAGGCCAAAAAGTTGATAAGAGTAATAAGAGTTAACATTTATTGATACTCAGGTTTAAGCATTCTCACAACTCCACCTATATTCTAGTAATGAAGAAATCAAGCTAAGATGTTTTTTTAACTGTAAATAAATCCCCATGCTAATAGTCAAGATTTGATTTGAGGCAGTCAGAATAGAGAACCTGTGTTCTCTACTAAACAAGATGGTCTTAAATATTAGAGGCACTTAGAGTCAAAGCAGCACACTTTTAACGTGTCAGTTGAATTGGTCTTTGTGCATGCCAGCATTCAACTTTAATAAATACATTTTTAGTCATCTATAGGTTCTCATTACTTTTCTCTATATAGTATTTGTTACTAACCAAAAGTTTAAAAACAAAAGTAAAGAATAGCTCATCTGAGTGAGAAATGCTTTCTACAACATTATGTTATGGGCTTGCAACAGCCTTGCAAAGTGCTTACCACTGTACTGAGACTTGCCTATAGTGTAAATTAGAGGTCACAACACTAGGCTTCTAGTGCCAGCACTGAATCCAAATATGTGACCTTGGCCTTTCTCTGGCTTTACTTTGAACTAAATAATCTCTGAGGTCATTTCCATCTGTATAATTAGATATTATATGCTTCTAAGTGACAAGAGACTAAAGACATCCCTGCACTGATCTTTGTATGTATTCAGCTGACACTACAATTTAGGATGTCAGATTATCCTTATGGTACTGCAGATTTGATTATGGTTGGAGGCTACTGTGTCTCTAGCGTGCATAGTTACAATTGACATTGATGGGTATAAAGCAGTTCACAAGGCTTATTAAATGCAGCCACAGAATCTGAATGTTCTGGGTTCCCTTCAGTGTTCATATAAACTGTAAATCATCTTAATTTTGAAATGTGACCTTCCCTCACATGCGTAAAGACTTCTGGATTTCAAAGTCATCTGTGGTTCCATAAAGAGTTCCTGAATACTGCTTCTGCCTTTGTGTCACATTCTGAAAGCCCAGCTCTAAATAAATCTTACTGGTGTTTTCTTTAAAGGTGAACTCGAGCAAAGCTATTATTGAAAATCTGGTTCCTGGTGCCCAGTATCAGGTTGTGATGTACCTAAGAAAAGGCCCTTTGATTGGACCACCTTCAGATCCTGTGACGTTTTCCATTGGTAAGTTGCTAGCCACAAGAACAATGATTCGTCTTTATCAGAGTTCTGGTGGAAGGGATGCAGTGGGGAGGCCAGTGCTAGTTCACCCAATACTCTACCTTCAGAGTGTAAACAACTAGACTTGCACACTTGGAGGACATCCTTAGCATTTACTACTCTGAGGAAAAATCACAGGCAGCTATATTCAAGTTTTCAATGATTATATCGGAAGAGTGAAAACCTTGATTATTAAGTAGAAATCTGAAGCCCTTGCTAAGATAATAAACATTCCTTTTTGTCTTTCTTTTTCCACCCCCTACCCCTCTTCTTTTTAGTTCCTACTGGAATAAAGGATTTAATGATCTATCCCTTGGGTCCTACAGCAGTGGTTCTGAGCTGGACCAGACCTTACTTAGGAGTGTTCAGAAAATATGTGGTCGAAATGTTTTATTTCAACCCTGCAACGATGACATCAGAGTGGACGACCTACTATGAAATAGCAGCGACTGTCTCCTTAACTGCATCAGTGGTAATCCTCCCGTAACCAGCTGTCACACGTCCCTATCTAAACAGACAAGCCTTTCTGTGCCAGATGTGCCAGAATGAGTTGTCTGTAAATTAGATCATTTTGTAGATACCCATACATAGGTGGTTTGCTACTTTCAAGGTTTTTAAGTGGGTTTTGCTTTGAGGTTTTGGGGTGTTTGGATTCTGTTCTTGTTTTAGAGAGGAAGAGAGAGAGATTTGCATGAAGCTAGCTTTCATCCCAGTTGAAGTTATTTGTTAATCAACATTTTTTTCTAACAAATTTGCTTAAAGTGGAGTAGTGCTATCAAAGGCTTATTGTTTCTCTCTGCTCCTAAGGAGCAAAACACGATTCCCCATAGGTCTTCCATAGTCAATTGACACTGCCTAACTCCGAGAATGACTCTTCTTGGCATCCACAAATCAGTTAGATGCCAATAATGTCAGGCCAGTAGAGGACGGTTTTCAAGAGAACAGGTAAAGATTGCTCTCTCTGAGACTGGAATAATTTTTAAAAAGTGTAGGTTACCTGCAGGTTATTTATGCATGAAGTAAACTGTTGGTCTCTACCCAGTTGACGACTCTGGTAATTGCCACCCAACGGGGACTCCTGCTCAGGGCCCATGTTGGAAGACTATAAAGTTGTGAGAGGCTATGTGAGAGGCCACTTGTGTTAGGAATAGGGAGATGTATGTGCACGGTCACTTAAAAATAAATACTATCTCACTTGTGTAATATTACTCAGGAAATTGCAAGGTGAAACCAAAATTGGAAACGTTTTGCTCTGTCTTGCAATCACCTTTCAAAAATTATATTTTTGTATTTTAACTTTTTTATGTTTCATCTCATTCCAGAAAGAATTTTTTATTATGGAAAAATGGGGAAATACAAAAAGGCACAAAAAAGGAAAATTAAAAATTTCTTATTAATTTTTTATGACCTAATGAAAGTAACTCTTACTCCAAGAATATTATTTTCCCCCTTAGTCTTTTGTCTCCTTGCTTTTTTTTTTTTCTCTCATTCAGAGAATAGCTAACCTGTTGCCAGCCTGGTACTACAACTTTCGGGTTACCATGGTGACATGGGGAGACCCAGAATTGAGCTGTTGTGACAGTTCCACCATAAGCTTCATCACAGGTGAGTGGTGCTGGGAAATAGTTCCAAGAGGAAAGAGCACTGCATATTTTGAGGAGATTCTAAGGGCTGTGTTTCCAGAGTGCCAGCCATTCCCCCAGCACTGACTAAGCATCAGTATCACAGAAGGTAATATGCTTGATTCTGATCATTCATTATTTGCTTAGTTAGATAATGTTTAAAATTAAAATATCTTTTTTGTTGAGTTACTGCCCTTGACTTATCTTTATTCTGAGTCACTGCCCTTGATTTACATGCTCCACAGTTGGGATTGATTAGAACAGAGATGCAGCAGACAGAGCCTTCAGCTTCACACTGCGCACTCGATTGATTTCACCCATTTGATGATTATATCTGTTAGCGTGCCTCGTGCCTCCACTTCCTTATTAATTAAGCCATTTTTAAAGTCACAGGCCAACTGCAGTAGGGTCCATTGCAGGAGTTAAAAACAGGCTTTGGAGACCAACAGACCTGGATTTGAATCATGGCTTTCCCACATACCACATGTAACCTGAGGAAGTTAACTTTTCTAAGCCTCAATTTTTTTTTATGTGTAAAATGGAGATGATAATAGTATCAATTATCAATTATTATTTTCTTTTTTTTTTTCCTTTTTGTCTTTTTTCGTGACCGGTAACGGGATCGCAACCCTCGGTGTCGCGCCCGCACCACGCTCAACCAGTGAACGGACCGGTCTCTATATGGGATCCGAACCCTCGGCGGGAGCGCCACACTCTACTGAGTGCGCCACCGGGCCGGCCCCACTATTATTATTTTCTATTGTTACTTAGCTACTTAGCAAAATACATGGCACAAAGTTAAGTATTTAAAAAACAGTTCTGTACTGGCCAGCTGCCATAAATAAGTAAATAATAAAAAACTATTAATCTTAGATCCTCAAGAACCTTAAATTATGTAGTTGCATCATCAATAGTATGAAAAGCAGAAATTCATCAAAAAAACACTAACCCTTATTGTTCAATCTAAGATTTTTAGTTGGACAAGGTTATAGTTAAAGTTGTACTGAGAAAACACAGGAGAAAAATATTTAGATGAAGAATAATTTTGGCAAAATAGTTTCCTCCATGGGCATCTGGTTTTACTGTTGAAACCTATCAATGAAAAGAATGGAAAGAAATCAATCATATGTAAATTCTTACACAATTAACTTAAATAGTAATATAATTATGGGAGGACAACTGTCTGGAAAAAGCCCAGACTTGGCAGCTGAACATGGGTCTGCTCATTTCTAGCTGTAGAACTTTGAGCAAATTATCTTAATGAACGGGCCTTCTATTCTCTCATATACTGATGAGAGTTCTACTGAACTCTTTAAAATATTACCTGACTGCTGGTTAACAGAGTAAATTATTACTTACTGTATTGGAACACCATCTTGAGATATCTTTGCAGTGTTTCATAGCGGGACGTCAGAAATAAAATATTAATAGGATTTGGGGTCCTGACTCAAGTGGTTTAAGGTGTGCCCCTCAAGGTGGGAAACTGACAGGGATTAAGCATAGTTTATGACAGCTCAGGTGGTCACAGCAAGCCTGGATAGTAAACTGTGGTTAATAAGTAAGCTATTCACCTGGGTCAGCAGTCTACTGTTCCCAGGAAATCAATCTTTGGGAATTTCTTATCTTTTCCTGGGACAAACGATGAAGTCATGCTGACACCAGCGGTATACAGTTTTATCTGAGCATATTGACACAGATAGTCTCAATTCTCACACTTATTAATGGGTATAATAATAATAAATACCTTACAGGATAATGTTAGAATTATGATTTATATGATATAAATCACTACTAAAACATACGTAAAGGACTCTTTTAATTTTTTATACTTCTTTTTCAAGCCAATTGAAATTCTAGTGTTTGTTTTCAGGTTTATGTATTTATTTATTTATTTTTGGTGGCTAGCCGGTATGGGGATCTGAACCCTTGATCTCATTACCAGCACCGCACTCCAACCAAGCTAACTGCTCAGCCTCTTTTTTGTTTTTGTGGCTTTTTTTTCTTTTTTTGCCTTTCTTTCCTCATTTCATTTAAAACAAAAAAATCATTTTACTTTCCCATGCTTTCACTTTTAATCTAAATTGCTAAATTGTGTGGTATTAGAGGAAATAGGAGCAAAATATTCTAATTAGGTATGATTTACTAGGAAGTCAAGCCTACTATCTTTGTTAGGCAACATAGTCTGTAAGCCAAGTTCATAGTAATTATGCTAGTGTACCAAATAATTATTAATAAATAGTGACATCTTGTGGGCCTTCACAATATGATAGATTTTAAAGCAACAGCCTATATATAAAAATCTGAAGATCTAGTACATGTGAAGAAGAGATATATACTTCTGGGTTTACAATTTTAAAATGTTTCTGGTCTTCACTAAAATCAGAAGGTGAAAATATATCCTTTGGGAAAACACATGTATAGATGTTTGTATATGATGAAGTATGTCAGAATATATTAAGAAGCTATAGAGAAGCCAAAGTTGTTTTCTTTTAGTAGAATATTCTGAAATATGATGTAGATTTGTGTTACACATTAAATACATTTTTGGCATTTCAATATTTTATTATTAAACATAATAGAAATGTTTTTTCTATTTCAATGAAACAAATGTTTTTTGCTTTATACATTACAAATTCTTCAGTAAATAATTGTTTTGAAAGCAGTTAGTTATGAATATTTGTTATGAGTATTAACATCTGTGATATTGTAAAAATATTTATTTGGGCTTTTTTGCCTTTTATTTCCTTTTTTATTGAAACATAGTTGATTATACATATCTGTGGGGTACAGAGTTGAATATCAATACCTGTGTGCAATATGTGATGCTCAAATCAGGATAATCAGTATATTCAACAATATACAGTGTAAACATATTTCAACATTATACAGTGCAAACATATTTCATGGCCCTTTACCAATCCTCTCTTATTTCCCTGTCCCTCCCCCTTTCCCAGCCCTGGTAACTTCAGTTCTGTTCTGTCCTTTTGAAAGTTCAATGTATTATTGTGATTATTCTTCCCTTCCTTCCTTCTTTCCTTCCTCCCTCCCTCCCCCCCCTCTCCTTCCCCACCCCCAGCTCCCACTTAAGAGTGAGAACATGCACTATTTCTTTTTCTATGCCTGGCTTATTTCTATGCCTGGCTTATTTAACATGATTTTCTCTAAGTTCATCCATGTTGCTGCAAATGGCAGTATTTCATTCTTTTTCATGGCAGAGTAGTATTCCATTGTGCGTGTATACCACATTTGCTTATCCAATTGTCTGTTGATGGACATTTAGGTTGGTTCCAACTCTTGTCTATTGTAAATAGAGTTGCAATAAACATGGGGGTTCAGGTATCCCTTAGACATGATTTCTATTACCTTGGGTATATACCCTGCAGTGGAATTGCTGGATCAGATGGATCTATCTGTAGTTGTTTGAGAAATCTCCATACCATTGTCCATAATGGCTGTACTAATTTATAGTCCCACCAACAGTGTAGCTGGGTTCTCCTTTCTCTGCATCCTTGCCAGCATTTGTTCTCTGCCTTTTTGATGAGAGCCAGTCTAACTGGAGTGAGATGATATCTCAGTGTGGTTTTGATTTGTATTTCCCTTATGCTGAATGATGTTGAGCATTTTTTCATGTGTCTGTTGGCCATCTGTATATCTTCCTTTGAGAAATGCCTATTCAACTCCTTTGCCCATTTTTAATTGGGTTATTTGGTTGTCATCCCTGTCTCCTGGAATATGACTCCTAAAATCCTTAAAATCTCCAAAGTGCTGTCTTTTCATATGCTAATGAGTTGGGTGATGGCTGGCAGCCTCTAGGAAGTTTCAGAATAGGGGATGGTCACTGGAAAGAGCAAGGCAGTCCCACCCCTCCCAAGCCCTGGAGAGGGGAGAGGTACTGGAGGTTAAGTTGAGTGCCACTGGCCAAAGATTAAATCAATCATGCCTATGTAATGAAGCTTCCATAAAAACCTGACAGAACTGGGTTCAGAGAGCATCTGGAGGTTCCTGGAGGGTGGCGTGCCCTGGAAGGGCACCTCGCTTTATGCATCTCTTTGCTATATCCTTTGTGATATCCTTCATAATAAATGGGGAAATGTAAGTAAGTGTTTCCCTGAGTTCTGTGGGCTGCTCAGTTAATTAATCAAACCCCAATTTATAGCCAGAAGCATACGTAAAACAACCTGTAGCTTGGGATTGGCATCAGAAGTGGGGGAGAGGGCAGTCTTGGGGACTGAGCTCTTAACCTGGGGGATCTGACACTATCTTCAAGTAGACAGTGTTAGAATTGAAATGGACACCCGGCTGGTGTCTGCTGTGGAACTGCTTGCTTGATTGTTGGTGGGGGGAAATCCCCACACATCTGGTCACAGAAGTCAGTCTTCTATGTTGATTATTGTTACTAAGTAAGAGTATAGAGGGAAAAACACTTTATTTTGATGTGTGTGTGTGTGTTTCCAAACAGCATCATTAAAGAAAATTATTTTTTATGATTTAGAGAAATTCTGAAAATATTTTAGTTGATATTGTGATGTATCTCAGAATGGAACGCTTACTTGTGTTCAAACCAACATACTCTTAAAATTTAAATCAAACTGTGTATTATTTCTTAAAATCTTCAGAATAATCAGTTACTTTAAAAAATAATTAAAATATGCTTTCAGAGCTCATATATTATAAACCTTGTGATGAACTGTCCTCCCCAATTAGCAAATAATTTTTAAAATTTAAATGTGTATGAATGTAAAATAAGTAACAAGTTCAGTGTTAGAATTTACCTTTGTGGCATGATATATTTTTTAAAATCCCTTTTTCCTTCACTGCTTGCTTCAGCAACATTTATTAAGAGCCTACTTTCTGCAAAGCAATGGGCTAGACACTGTCGATAATACTGCCTTGTTATTTTATGTAAATAACATTCGTCCTTTATATTACTTATAGTGCTATTATCTTCTATCCTTCTACCCTACTCTTCTTTATTCCCATAACCATCTTCACTGTACCACAAAGAAAGAGATTTACTTTTACAGGAACCCAAGTTTTCCAATACTCCTAAGATACTAATTTCACCAACGCCTATTAATAGTGATTGATTGATATAACAAATATAGCCAAACAAGTGAACCCTATTTTAGGAAATTTGTGACCATGAAATTTGTATAAAAGACCTTAATAACCTTAATAAGCCTTAATAGATGGCTCTGGCTCTCTTGTGTCTGAGATATACAAGGTGCCTACCTGAAACAAGTGCCTACCCTGTATCACCAACCTTCACTCTGTTACTGAGAGTCCAGGAGTCCCCAGAACCATCATGTGCTATGAATTTTAAATTTCTAAGTTAACTCTATATGAGATTTTGTGCTCTACTGATAAGCACTTAAATTATTAGTCTATTATACTAACCTGTGCCTCTTTCTTCCCTTGTAGCCCCAGTGGCTCCAGAAATCACTTCTGTGGAATATTTCAACAGTCTGTTATACATCAGTTGGACATATGGGGATGACACAACTGACCTGTCCCATTCTAGAATGCTACACTGGATGGTTGTTGCAGAAGGAAAGAAGAAAATTAAAAAGAGTGTATGTTTCTTTGAATCCCCATGTTAGGCATCTAAACATTTAGTTGCACAAACTATTGAAGACCATTAAGCAAACATTTATTGAAACGTTAAACAAGTGTTTGTATGCCAGTTGGTACTGTATTAGGCTCTAGAGATGCGACAGTGAACAAAAATTCCTTTCCTTTTCATCTTTAACAGTGAGTTGTAATAGTTGTAACTATTGATTTCATTTATATTTAAAGTTACGATTTAAGAAAATTACAATGAATGTATTTCAGTATTTTCTCCATAATCACCAGTACCTGAATACTTGGGTATGCTCAGAATGCTGAATTCTTTTCTAAGCTTTTTGACATTGTATTAACTAACGAAGAAACAAACAAACAAAAAGAGAATGGCTCAGACGCAATAGAAGCCTGTGTCTCTCTCGTGACAACACAGGACTAACAGGGCACTTCTGCTGTAGGAGGTCATCCGGGGATCCATATTCCTCCTGCTGTGTTGTTCCATCAGCCACTATGTGTAGTCCTGCAGAGCGGAAGCTTCATCATCATTCCATACATATTCTAGCCTCGGGAAGGAGGAAAGAGAGAACATGGAGGCCCAGCACTTACAGGATGTGAACTGAACTATAAGTTGCCCATGTGACTTCCACTTACAATCTATTGGTCAGAACTTGGTCACATGGTTTCCTTTAGCCATAGGGGAGGATGGGAAATGTAGTCTTTAGGTAGGAAGCCATGTGTCTGTAGACATAGCTTCTTCTGAGCTTTTTAGATTGTACATGTCAATAGCAACCCAGAAATTGCCTTTTCTAAAATCTGCTGTGAATATATGGAAAAATTTTAGAGTAATATTCATTCCAAATAAGGTAATTAATTGTAAAATTATCCTGTCTGATGTGTATTATGAATTTTTAAAGCTACCTTGCCTTCAGCCCAATTGACAGATTTCTATAATTTTCAGAGGATTTTAAAGCTACCTTGCCTTCAGCCCAATTGACAGATTTCTATAATTTTCAGAGGATATAACATATCCATAATATAATCAATTGTGGATTGTGGCATGTAACAGAGAGGGAATGCCTGCTATAGCCCTGTAGCTGTTTGGGGTGGTGTGCTGGCTCATTCATTAGAAGCTTAAACCCTCGGTTTTGATGATCTTGCAGGTAACACGCAATGTCATGACTGCAATTCTCAGTTTGCCTCCAGGAGACATCTACAACCTCTCAGTAACTGCTTGCACTGAAAGAGGAAGTAATACCTCTTTGCTCCACCTTGTCAAGCTAGGTAAGAAGAGAGCACAGGTATGGATATGAAAGTAATCATGCTCGGAGAACTGGTGTTTACATAGCTTGATTCCACATGTGCTAGTCAAGTCGATCAAATAATAACAGAAAAACAGCTCATTCTCTATTGTAAGTAAAAATAGACATTTATACTACTGAAAGAGTACATTCAACTTAGTATAAGTTTCTATGAGTGGAATGCACAAGGGTACTTCAAAAAGTTCGTGGAAAGATTCATAGTGTCTTGCGATGCTATTTCTTCCATGAACTTTTTGAGGTCTCATATATTGTGCTGGGAAACAGGAGTTCACCATTCTTAGTAAAGTTGGAGGAACCAAGTAGTCTTAGGATTTTAGAAACAGGACCTTAGAGATTATCTAATGCAATGTACACAACCCTATCAGACAACATTCCATTTTCATATAAATAATGCCCTCTTTAATATCTTAAACAGAAATTCACAGATAAAATAACCCATATACTGATTTTTTTAATTTGGCATAATTTCTTAACTCTAATATAAAATCAAAATAAAAGAAAAATAATTTGTAATAAAATATGAATTCCCTATGTATAGGTTCAGACACAGCTACTCTAAAAGATAAAATGAAATTGTCTGATGCCTACACATAATTAAAATGAATAAGTTTGGGTTTACAAGAAGTAAAAAGATGAATAGTCCTTCATACAAGAAATATAAAAATAAATGAAAGGGGCCGAGCCCGTGGCACACTCCGGAGAGTGCGGCGCTGGGAGCGCAGCAGCACTCCTGCCGCGGGTTCGGGTCCTATATAGGGATGACCAGTGTGCTCACAGCACTCACTGGCTGAGCGCGGTGCAGCCAGTCTCAAAAAGGACAAAAATAATAATAATAATAATAATAAAAATAAAAAAATAAAAAATAAATGAAAGAATGAACAAGTAAATATAAATTAATTAATTAATAGTAAATAATTGAGCAAGCATAGGTACAAATGGACCCTAGAATAAAAACTAGAGTTAGAATAAGCAATGAGACTAGACATAATGAGAGAAAGGAGAGAATAATCTCAATTAGAGATAACATGACAAAAAAATAATAGGCTGTGGATGAGGGAAAATGAGAAAAGTATGATATTCTTGCAAATGAGCTAGAACTTACTTTGTAGTGTAGTGTCAAAATTCTGTATGACATACAACTGAGAAGTGACACCGTGCAACAAAAATCACTTCTTCTGCATTCAAAACTCTACTATGTGTTGAAGTATACATTTAGTTTCTGATAACTAAGGGGAAACATGGAGACAGTATCCTTAAATCAGCACCAGGCAATGGAGGTGAACTGACAAAGTCGTATGGTAGACCTCTTGGGGCAGGATGAATAAAAGAGGGACAACCCCAAAATAAATGCATAATTTCAATATGTAATTTTCACAGCACAGATCTTCTATCATTTTCGTGTTTCAAAAATTAAAAATATATTGAATCGCAATAACAAAAATATTTTTCAAATAGTTAATGCAATTTACTGACATCGCTCATTCAGATGTCTGCTAGTGTATAATATGTGTCTGAATCTGTTCATGAGAATCTCAGATCATCTGTTATTATGTATGTTCACATGTGCAGCTGTAAGTAAAGACTGACCCAGGGGTCAGTTTTATTAGTAGCTTAAATACTATGAGTAGCCTTGTTGTCAGTGATGTATTTTTAGAAAACTCTTAGAAAATGAAAACAAAACAAAACACAATCTTTCCTCAGTTTACTCACTAATTGCATTTTTCTGTAACTCAATGCACAGGATACTGAGTCTTAAATCTTTTTTGTCTCATATTTTGGGAAAAACTAACTCTTGTGCTGAAACCCTTTAAAATTATATAGGTAGTTGGAAATAGGTAATGTATCGAATAGACACTATGAGAAGAAAAAGTAAATTATTGACTACCTTTTAAATAATACCTAATTCATTTAAATATCTCTCTTCATGACAACTTATTTTTTTTTCAAATCATATTTCCTTTATTAACCACTTTACTTCAAGTTTGGTTAGTGGAATCATAAGACTGTCTAGCCTAATGGTCTATGGAAAATGTTCTGGCTGAAAGATGTTGTCTTGTTATTGAGTCAAATAATTACATGCAAAGTAAACCCTGAATTAAATACAGAAATCTGTGAAACAATGATGTATTTCCGAAAAGGTGAAAAACAGGAGATTTGAGGTAGATGGTAACTCTAAGAAGAGTTACCCAAGTATTAAAATGGCACCCTGGAAATGGCTCACAGCAAAACCTAAGTTTTGATTAGTTTCATTATGCAGGTGAAACTACATCAGTAGAGAACAGGGGTGGCTGCACGGTTGGGCCGCATGGAGGCAATTCTCCCCTTTATGGATCCACAGAAGGAAGATGACTTTTGGTGCCATGTGGTTTGCCCTTATCCCCAGCAAGACGGTCTAATTCCCTCAACCCCATGTGAGCCTGGGAAAAGATAGTAAAAACATTTCCTTAAGAGGTAAAGACTATAAAGAAGCTATGAACTCATTCTGGAAAGATATGAAAATGTCATGGAATAAGAGCACACATGTTGATTTTAATAGCTTTTTGTCAGGTACACGTCACAGAAATGCACTCCCTTCCCCACAAAAAAAAAAAAAGGTCATGCAGAAAAATTAGATTTGTAATGGAAAAGTATACATCCAACATAGGCGAAAACGTGGTTTATATGTTTAAAAAATATGCAAAATAATTTCACTATGAAATACCTTGATTTCCATGATTTAGTACTTATTTGATATTAACCAGATCCAACTGCTCTGATAAATCGCTATTACATGTTTTAGAATATCTGTTTTTTTAATAAAAAGATCTATTGTTAAACCAGAACATAAAACCCGTATTTGTGCATCCGTGTGTAAGCTATCCTGCTTAGTATCACGGTGCCAAGACCCCAAAAGATCAATAAAATAATTTTTTAAAGACTCAAGTTACAGACTAACTAATAATATATTTTTCCTCAAGTTTTCCAAAAACTTAAAAGTACTCGTATTAATGCAATCTTGATTTTTAGTCAGTGGTTGGTTGTCAAACTTAAAAAGCAATATGTTTGCAAGGACCTTCACAATAATGGTCGTTAAATCTTGAGAAAAATCACTCTTACAATTGCACCATGGTATAGTTCAAGCAAACTGTAAATGACTCTAAACTTTATAATCATGCCCTTTGGTGTGCTTTAAGCTGACATACTGCCTTTGCAGTCTATACTTTGTACGACAGCAGGTAACTCTAGCACAGAAGAAGCTGTATAATGTGGAACAGGGGACGACTTCAGAGGCAGTATTCCATTTTTATTTATCCAGACTGTTGCTTTCAGTCCCGCATTGGGGACTCTTCATATGTCGTTTGTGATGTGTCACCAACTATCACACAGTCCCCAGACTGCACTCCCGGTATGTCACAGCAGTAGTGGAATACTGGAAGGCACTGGCTTCTCCTCTTTCTGCTTTTCTCCTACAACAACAGCACCAAAATAGGACCAACAGGCACAGGCCTCGGTCTTCTCCCTCTGGGTCTGTCTGTCACCATCCATTAATAAAAGCAGGAGGACCTCCTTTCGCAGTTCAGTGAGCATGGTTTTGACATCTTCGGCTAGTGTCATATGCTGTAAACGTGCGGATTTCCACAGGAAAAAATAACATTCTTCAGCCAATTTCCTATTGGCTGCGCCACCTTTTGTTTGCTTGATTGCTTCCTCCCCGTGGGAAGTCCTTAGATCAGAAATGCACGTGTTGTAAGGATGGAAGCGTTCTTTGCTGAGTTTAACTTGAACTTTACCAGAGATGATTTCAGCCTCTTCTTTATGATGGTATTTGGGTCGTAAGAGCTTTATCGCCTCTGACTGCCTCTGCTGCTCGCCGCAGCCGTAGAGCGTGTTGTCCAGGTGGAAGAAAACGGCCTGCGGGGGACTCGGCCCCACAGCGCCCGCCACCTGCACCTCGTCACCTGGCCCAGCCGCCCGCGCAGGCGTGAGGTGGGCAGGCGGGACTACACGACAACTTCTAAATTATTTTACTTAATTTCTTGGGAAAAACTTCCAATACCATGACATGGTAAAGTACTTGTCATTCATATTGATGGTGGATTTATTTGGGTACTACATTTGAGAGCCATGGGGGACATGGGACACGGGACAATTTGTTTTTTGGCATGCTCTTCATCCTTGCAGGACAGCTAGGATTTCTGAGTCCTGCCCGCAGAAGTCCTGTTAATTCCTTCCCTCTGCTCTGGCTACTAAAGACATTCCTGCAAATTTCCAAACTCCCTCAAGGGGGCATCACTGCTCCTGGTGAGCATCGAGGATAGAGTTCAGTCTTTCGTGCAGGGAAGGCAATCTGCTCTTCTTAGCAATCTATACTTCAATTCTAGAAATGTGGAGAGCAGTAACTTCCAACGTTTCATGATGTTTCTATTAAGAAAAAAATTGTCTGCCTATCAATTCCAATCATAGCGTCTTATTTTGTCCTCTGTATATGTAAAGATTAGCCCCAAACTCACTTCCAGGTAGCTGGAATTACTTGAAGATTATGCCCATGTTCCCCGTGTCTTTCTTTTCCCACACTTTCCTGTTACAGGGACTGTGTTTCTAAGGTCCTGGCTGCTTTCTCCAATTCATTTTGTTTTTCAGCCTCTCTTAGAATGCAGGTTCAGAAGTGGTCTTACCAAAGTAGCATTCAGTGGACCTAGTCCCACACTTTCCTGTTACAGGGACTGTGTTTCTAAGGTCCTGGCTGCTTTCTCCAATTCATTTTGTTTTACAGCCTCTCTTAGAATGCAGGTTCAGAAGTGGTCTTACCAAAGTAGCATTCAGTGGACCTAGTGCATGCTTCACTGTCATTTTAATGTCTTCTTATGATCTACGGAGCCTCAGGAATACGGATTACAGTCACGAACTGGCATAATTACATCTACATAGGAGTATAAGTAAAAGCCATAATAGTTTTCCAAACTTATCATGAGGTTTAGAGCC